GGCCTAGACCCTTCATCAGATGAAGGGTCTAGGCCCGAAACGTCAGCCTCTCTGCTCCTATGATGCTGCTTGGCCTGCTGTGTTCATCCAGCCCTGCACCTTGTTGTCTCGGATTCTCCAGCATCTGCAGTTCCTACTATCTCTGATTCAATGATGAATTAAAGATCTTTTTGAGGACGGGAGAGAAAGTTTAGACCTTTTCATTATAACTGGAAAATGAGCGATGATGGCATTAAAAACATGGACAAGACTTTTGAGAACTTCAATACACATCTCTAACAAAAATCAAACTGTGAGGTCCACTTACATACATTTCAGAGTGTATTTAATTTCGATTGTTCAGCACGGAATGATATCACCCGACTCAGGGTGAACTAGGAGCTTGCGCCTGAAAATTTGAAAGGAGACAGTAACCAAAGGAAAGATGCTCTGGAACCAGACAACATCAGTGCTGATGGTGTGCAGTGGAACTCAGATTTGGCATCTGGAAGAGCCCCAAATTGAAGAGACACACAAGGGAAAGCATATGGACTGTTATGTTAGGCATCACTGAAGTTGATGGTCCTGCTATCCTGGGCTTGCATAGCTGCAAAGAGGTGTGACTGACCTCAGGAAACCATGAAATGAAGGTGGCATCACTGAAGGTTGACGGCAGCACCATCATTGAAAAGCACCCTGTAATCAGAAGCTTGAAAACTGAGTGCTTTTATGACGGGGTTGAATGATTTGATGATTTTGAGCATCGCCTCACCACTGGCCCAGAATAACGCACCAGTAGGTCTAGAGTTCGAAAGACAGCTCATCAGATGGCACTCAGAGAGCTGCCCTCTCCACACAGAAGATGGGCCAGAAGGAGGAAAACCCAGGGAAGAATTCTCTAACCCCTCAGTTAGGGAGCAGGATGCTGTCTTCACAACATTAAACAAGGTAGCAGACTCATTTCACACCAACAGCCTATTTGTCCTCTGGTAACAGGGAAATATCTCCAGTTGTCACATGCTTTCTTTAACTAATTAACTAACGTATCATATCTAAACTGTTGTTTCTTAACAAACTGAACAAACTATCAGAAAATTGCTAGAAATTTTATCCTGTGTATATGAGGTAACTGTGATCACGAACCCCTCAAAAATCAACACAAGTAGACCCTCACCAAGTGCCAAGAGACGAAGGATGATCCAAAACCTGCCTTATTGTCACGCCAAGCTACAACTCTCAAGGTTAAGATGAAACTGGCTGAGGAGTTACTGGATGGCAGGAAGTACAGGATCAGATAATTAGACATACCCATAAAGGAACACAGGTGAGAAGGCGGGTTTCCAGGAACTACCACAGCTGATAGAGGGACTGAAGCTGTGCTGTTGGCATTATTCAGCATCACATGCCAGCACTGACCCAACTCAGCTAACAGACACTCACTGAAAGAACAAGACATTTCTGCCAAGCAAGATACTCCCCCCGATCATCTGGAGGATATAAGTCAACAGAAAGAGGTCAATGCTTCAATAAATGTCAAATTCTTGCTTAATTTGATTAAAGCCCAAACTGTAGATGTATGGGAGACAACACTGAAAACCTGGAATACAGAAAAGGTTGTTGTAGTGTGTGGCAAAGCAGGAGACAATATTTTTGTTTCGAGGGCTCTTGGTGAGATATTCTTTTCCAAAGACTATTTTTCTTTGGTTTTTCAGGGGCTCTTTTTCATCATTTTCACTAATTCACTTCTTAAATAATGCAGTCACGAAGTACTATCATCCATGGTGTCTGTGTTGAATTTATTTTTTAAGGCCTTTTTCTTTGGATAGATTAAAAATAAAGTATACATATCAAAGACTGGCTGCTATGTCTTTTAACTTGGAATGAACATATAAGATGCTTTTGTTAATTTATTATAAATAAACCTCCCAACTGCCAGATACATACACTCTTCCCAAACCCCCTCCTCTGGGATCCACTGTTGTTACTCCCTCACTCCCCCCTCACATTAAAAAAAAATCCAGCACAGAATGTTAACTATATGCCAAAAAAATGATCAGCTTTCCTTTCTAATTATACAGTCATAGAGTCATACAGCATGGAAACAGACCTTTCCGTTCAATTCATCCATTCTTACCAGGTTTCCTAAACTAAATTAATCCCATTTGCCTGTATTTGGCTCATATCCCTCTAAACCTTTCCCATCCATGTACCAGTCAAAATGTTTTTTAGAAGTTGTAACTGTACCTCTGTTAAATGCACCACCCTTTGTATGAAAAAGTTGCCCCTCAGGTTCCTTTTAAATCCTCTGCTGTCACCTTAAACCTATGCCCTCTGGATTTGAACTCCCCCACCCTAGGGAAAAGACCTTTGCTTCACCTAATCTATGCCTGTCATGATTTTATAAACCTCCAAAATAGTTAATCGTGTCAAATAAAAGTGATCAGAAATCAAGGCCGGATTTTTTTTAAAACTGAAAAATAAAGTTCATCAGATTTTAAGTGACTGCCAAGGGCATGAGAGAAGCTGTTCTTTCAGCAACTGAAACAAGTATCTATATATGCCCTGAAGAAATGCAAGGATAATTTATTTGAAACTTACGTGATCAGTTGTGCATTATCATGCTTCTTTCGGATCAGTGTCTGCCGTCTCCACTTTAAAAAGGACCACAGCGTGATGTAGGGATCCTCTCTCACATCACACTTGTTCTCATGAGTCCACACCTCCAGGTGAACCAAGGCAATCCTGATATTCAGAGACCTATAATACTGAGGGGAAACACTCAGGTAGAGAGACAAACTCCATGGGCAGTCAGTAATGGTCTGATCAGTATACAAGAGCACAACTGCCTAGTTAAACCAAAGTCAAGTCAATGACTTGCAACTTGTATCACTTGTAGGGAAAAAGACCCATACATTTACATGTATTTTGCATTTGAAGTGAATATCCACGCCAGCAAATAATGAGAGGAATTTAAATGGTGCCTCAGGATATTCCAAAGTGCTTTAGAGCCAAGGAAATACTTTTGAAGTGGAAACACTGTTGTAGTGTAGGAAATACATCAGCCAATTTATCTATTGTAATGTAGGGAATACATCTCTTGATACCATCTCTGATACCTCTCTCTCCTTCCTGGACCTCTCTGTTTCCATCTCTGGCAACCAGCTGGAAACCGATATCCATTTCAAACCTACTAACCTCATCCCGCTCCCTTGACCTGTCCGTCCTCCCTGGACGGATTTCTGAAGAAGGGTCTAGGCCCGAAACATCAGCCTTCCTGCTCCTCTGATGCTGCTTGGCCTGCTGTGTTCATCCGGCTCTACACCTTGTTATCTCCATTTCAAGCCCACCGACTCCCACAGAATACTCCTCCTCCCACCCACCTTCCTGCAAAAATGCTATCCCCTATTCCCAATTCCTTCGCCTCCGCCGCATCTGCTCCCAGGTTGAGGCATTCCACTCCCATACATCTCAGATGTCCTCATTTTTCAAGGACCATAACTTCCCCCCCTCAGTGGTCGAGAACGCCCTTGACCATGTCTCCCGCATTTCCCGCAACTCATCCCTCACACCCCCTCCCCGCAATAACAAACAAAACAGAATCTCCCTCGTCCTCACGTACCACCCCACCAACCTCCGGATCCAACGCATCATCCTCCGACACTTCCGCCATCTGCAATCTGACCCCACCCTTATCTGCTTTCCGGAGGGACCACTCTCTCCAGGACTCCCTTGTCCGCTCCACACTCCCCTCCAGCCCCACCACACCCGGCACTTTTCCATGCAACCGCAGGAAGTGCTACACCTGCCCCTACACCTCCCCCCTCACCCCCATCCCAGGCCCCAAGAAAACTTTCCACATCAAGCAGATGTTCACCTGCACATCTGCTAATGTGGTATACTGTATCCACTGTTCCCGTTGTGGCCTCCTCTACATCAGGGAAACCAAGCGGAAGCTTGGGGACCACATTGTGGAACACCTACCCTTGGTTTGCACTAAACAACTGCACCTCCCAGTCGCAAACCATTTCAACTCCCCCTCCCATTCCTCAGACGACATGTCCATCCTGGGCCTCCTGCAGTGCCACAACGATGCCTCCCAAATGTTGCAGGAACAGCACCTCATATTCCGCTTGGGAACCATGCAGCCCAATGGTATCAATGTGGACTTCACAAGCTTCAAAATCTCCCCTCCCCCTACTGCATCTCAAAACCAGCCCAGCTTGTCCCTGCCTTCCTAACCTGTTCTTCCTCCCACCTATCCCCTCCTCCCACCTCAAGCCCCACCCCCATCTCCTACCTGCTAACCTCATCCCGTCCCCTTGACCTGTCCGTCCTCCCTGGACTGACCTATCTCCTCCCTAACTCCCCACCTACACTCACCTTTACTGGCTCCATCCCCACCTCTTTGACCTGTCTGGCTCCTCTCCACCTATCTTCTCCTTTATCCATCCTCTATCTGCCTCCCCCTCTCTCCCTATTTATTTCAGAATCCCCTTCCCCTCCCACACATTTCTGAGGTTTAGGCCCAAAACGTCAGCCTTCCTGCTCCTCTGATGCTGCATGGCCTGCTGTGTTCATCCAGCTCTACACCTTGTTATCTCTGTAGGAAATACAGCAGCCCAATTGTGCACGAGAAGCTCCCACAAACAATAATATAAAGGCCAGATAATGTATTTTAATGTTATGATTAAGGGCTGGATATTGACCATGACACTGGGTGATATGCAGTACAATTTGACATACATATAAATTCATGCTAATACAGCTTTGGTCTCACCTTATCAACATAGTTCACAGTTTCCTTCAATTTCAGTTTGGTCTTCTCCAGGTCCCAGTTATGCTTCTGAAACTAACAGGTGATGGAATGAGATAGAGAAAAGCCTAAGCATCCCTAAATATTTTAGCCAAGCCTGACTGGAACTGACATCAGCTTCCCAACATCCTGAGGTCATTGCAAAATGGACTCAGTGAAGAAAGGTTTTTGACTCATTTGAACTTATCTAATCAGGATACAGTCTCCATTAGAATCTTCCCAATATGACATAGAGTCATAAAACACAGAAACAGACCCTTCGGTCAAACCAGTCCATGGCTATTGCCTCAATTAATCCAGGATCATGAAAGCATGGGAGTTGGAAGATGAAGAAAGATCAATTGCCCCTTCTACCATCCTGGATAATGGAGGTGCTGACAAATGATGGCAATCAATTTCTACCAGTTAATCTTGGCCTCAGCTATGTTTCCCAGCAACCTGCTCCTCACCACTCTCAATGTCAAAGAGTATTTCATGGAATCTGTCTTCAACCTGCCAGGTTAGCCTGCTGCCTGATAAACCTGCAATTCATGCCTCCTGTGATGAATTTGGGAATTGGATTTCAAAATAGCAATAGATGGACGTGCATCAGTCCTGTAAAGTTTTTAAAAATGTTTTTAGGAAGTCCTAAGTACATCAGTTCCAAGAAAGCATGTGATTGCAGCTGAGTGCCTGGGAGAACCTTTGTAGTGTTAATGGATAAAACATTTATACTGTTGGCTTTATGACAGGCAGAGTAAACACTTTAGTTTTGCAATGAATTCAGCACCAAAAGTTTAAAGTTTTAGTTCAGGAGAACTGGTGTAAGGGCTGCCCATGTGTGAAAGACACAAAGTGGGCAACAAGGGATAAACAGAGTTAAATGCCTGCTCTAGCATTTAAGTGAAACACAATGGTTCTTTGAACAGGGCTGCACCAAGGTGAACAGGAGGCCCTATGCAAAAGCCATCTGAGGCAGTTTGAAAAGGATTAGCCTATTAAAATACAACAAGTGATTGATTCCAGCCTCATTAATGAAGGGATGTTGTCCCATTAGGTGAACAGTACCAGTTAGAACAAGGGGTGCAGATCTCAGTCAGCCTAACTCATCGTGCAGCTGTGAAAACAACAGCTAATAATGTAGTAATAAGTTGTTTCTTTGAAGTTATTCACAATATTAAGAAATAGGTTCTAGTTAAAGATTCTTCAGATAATCACAGAAATAGATACACATATATAACGAAAATATAATAGGAGCAATAGGGGAAAACACTCAAACATAATTGTGAAATGTTAATTAGCCTCGGGAAATGCTTTCCACATCTCTTAAAAAGATGCCTGGCAACTCATTGTTCGCAGCTCATTAAAAAGTGCTAAAGTAGAAGTAGCTGTATAGCTTTACATATAACTAACTTTATAATAGAAATTAATATTATGAATCTTAAAGCAGTTAGTTAGAAACAACTGACTTTTGTATTTTATATATATATTGTATATATAATTGGGATAGTGGAAAATATAAGAGGAATAACAGAATTTGATAGAGATAGCACATGGAATACAATGAATAACAGAATTCAAGCAGTCCTTAGAAATAAGCAAATTTGGGACAGGTCCGAAGGAGTATAATCAGTAACTTTGGAATGCAAATTAATAGGATGCATAGAAAGATCCCAACGCCTGGAGACTACAATATCTGTTAAACACCATGAGATCATGGGAATCTGGGGCTGTCCATAGGATCGTCCATCATTGATTAGGTGTTTCAGAGGATTGGATGTATAGAATAAGAGGAAGGACACAGTGACCAAGTTGAATGTGATTATCGTAACATCAAATGTATAAAAATCCTGTATTTCACTGTAAAAATCAAACTGTATCATTGATCTCTCTTCTGATCTGAGCCAAAGCTTAAGAGACCGACTGGGTTCTCACGTCGAGGTCAGATTCGGGGAAGTCTTTGGTCCTCTCCCTGCATTAACCAGTTGTTGCTTGAATAAGAATAAAGTTTGCCACTTGCCTGAATCCTGCCTGCCTCCTGAGTCTTTGTCCCCTGTCGGGGGGTTACACTCCTGCACCTGGGAGTTCAGTTAAAAAGGTAGAACAATTTCTCCTAGCATGGGAACCAAGTCAGCTATGGGAAAGCAATCAACTTAGCTGGAGTGTTTTACTGTGGAGCTTCCAAGCTAAGAGAGTCTAGATTGAAAACTTCAAGTTGAAAGGTTTAGGCCATCAAGAGTGATGAAGGGTACATGCTTGTGTAGTCAGAAAAGAATAATAAAAATTCTCTTCGTAGTCCAAGGAAAAGAAACTGACCAGTTAAAAACAGCTAAGACAGGATGATATTTCTGTGGGGTCAAATTCCTATAATAAATGGTGTTAGGCAATTTGTTGAAAATTCGTTCTGTTTGTGTTAAGGTATTCTGAACTGCCTGGTTTACTTGTTTTATTTCTTTTGTGTAATAAACTTATATTCTGTTGTTAAAGAGTACTTACAGCCTCGTGTGAACGTAGTTCAGGAGTTAAAAATCACACTAACTGCAAAATTTAAACATATGATCTATCAATCCAGGTTTCATTTAATGTGGTACCTTCATAGAGTCTTCCAGCATTGAAACAGACACTTCAGTCGAATTTATCCATGCTGACCAGGCTTCCCAAACTAGTCCCATTTGCCTGCATTTGGCCCAGTAACCCTCTAAACCATTCCTATGTTGTCTTAGCTCTAGATTTGACTATTCCAATGCATTCCTCTCTGATCTCCCACGTTCTACCCTCTATAAACTTGAAGTCATCCAAAATTCTGTTGCTCATGTCTTCGTTCACACCAACTTATCCATCAACCCCTGTGCTCATTGATCTACGTTGATTTAACTTTAAAATTTTCATCCTTGTTTTCAAATCCTGCCAATTTAAATTCTAAGTTCTTGACCCTCGCCTATCTCCGTGATCTCCCCAGCACCATACCCCTCGAGAGATATCTGTGCTCCTATTTTTTTTTCAACCCAATTTCAATCACGTTACCATTGGTGGTCTTAACTTCCACTGCCTCAGCCCTAAGCTCTGAGATGTTTCCTCTGCATCTCTCCACCTCTCTTCCCTTGATTTCCTGATTTGAGGTGCTTCACAAAAATTACTTGTTTGACCAAGCTCTTTCTTATCTAACCTAATATCTTCTTACCTGGCTTGGTAGCCTGGCATCTCTGCAATGTTTTATTAAGTATTAGTTGTTGCTGCTACAGGTATAGTCTTAATTTATCTTCTCTATCCTATATGTGACCTCATCAGGAAACCAGCCACTCTTCATGCTTGCTGGGAAGGCAGGTAATCGGGAAGGTTGAGACCCTTTAGTAGCTATAACTTGGTCACTTAAGAGCTTTAATTGCTGGTGAATCATGAAATTCCCTAATGGATCTTCCCACTCAACCTTTAAGTCTTGAGGTGGCATGAAGAGGGTGAGTATCTCTCTAGGGCTAACTTGCAGAATTACTTCTACTCCCATCACCTCTGGGGAGGGGTAAATTGTCCCCAGAGTAACAATAAATAGACATTTCTAAGGTTTTGGAGTAGATTTGTAGCTGAAGGGTACATGAACACCAACTGGCTACAAAAAGACACGACCAATACTCACTCATCTCAATCCACATGGACAAGGAGAACCACCAATTTGACTGGGACAACACCAAAATCCTGGGACAAGCTAAGCAGAGACAGGCACAGGAAATCCTAGAAGCCTAGCACTCCATGAAGCATGCTATTAATAAACACATTGAGCTCGACCCCATATACATTCCCCTACGAAGGAAAACCGAAAGTGAGGCAATCCAGCTCAACGGACCCCAGAGTTTAAAAACCAGGCAGGAAAACACACCGACACTTCATCAGAGGCTGCACTGAGGATGTTACCCAGCATGGTAACAAAACATCTGCGATACAAGAAACCAGCTCGGCGAGCCAACCAACCTCAATAAATAGACATTGTCAACAAGCAGGCTACAAAACAGCACAGGGATCACATCAGAAGGATGTAATAGGAGTTAATGTCACTTGGAGCAATAATCTTCATTTGATTGTACAGTGGTTGGGCTGGGAGTGCCTGATAGGGAAAACCTGAATGTTCTTTTTCTCAGCCAAAATGGGGTTCAACATTATCCTTCCTGGTCCACAGGAGATGAAAGCAACAGCCATTTTACGCCAGGGCAATGATGTGGCACAAGAATTGACATCAATATCCCCAGGCTAGGAGGGAATTAAAAATAAATTAGAGATGAGTGTGCAAGGTGGAATGGGTTGGAACGGTTCTCCATCCATTGTTCAGTGACCTGCTTTAAAATAGGTGGATGTTGGGCAAGGAGAGACCTAGATATGGTGATGGTTCCCATTGTGGGTGAACCTAATTGACCAGGTGGCACACAATGGCCACCAAAGCAGAGTACCAAAGACATGCCAGTGAATACAGACCCATGCCCAAAAAGAGTTCTGGGCAGGGGGCAAGAGGTGGAATTGGGGGAAAATGTCTCTCTGTCTTACTCGGAATAAAATGATCAGTAGGAAAACATATCACACAAGTGCAGAATGGACCCCAAAAGCTTATTATATGGCTGCCTCGCACTCCACAGATGCTGCCAGACTATTTTCGGCACTTTCATTTATATTTCAGAATTTGAACTTCAGCACTATTTTATATTTTGCTTCTTTTTACAAAATTAATTCACCGGATCTGAGCATTGCTGGCAGGGCCAGCATTTATTGCCCATCCCAAGTTGCCCTTGAGAAGGTGTTGGTGACCTGTTTTCTTGAAGTGCTGCAGTCCACATGCTGTAGGTAGACCCACAACGACAAAGAAGTGCCAGAATTTTGACCCAACGATACCGAAGGAACAGTAAGCTATTTCCAAGTCAGGGTGTTGAGTGGTTTGCAGGAGACCTGGCAGGTGGTGGTGTCCACATGTACCTGCTGTCCTTGTCTGCCTAGATGTTAGTGCTCACGGGTTTGGAACAAACTGCAGAAGGAGAATATGGCATGAGGTAAACTTGGAACTTGAAGCTTCTACCTACTGGGACACAATGGTCATTCTCTCTGAATATAAAGTTACTATGCATTTTGCAACTAGTAAGCTTGGCTCAATCTGCTTCCTCCATCTTCAGGGAGGAACAATACCAACCTTCCTCTTTCAGTGGGTGAATGATAGCTAATAAGCCAGCAATGAGAATGTGTTGGGGCAAAGTGTGCATCAGGAACACATGATTTCTGGCTTCCTCTGGCAGCTCATTCCATATGTGTACCAGCCTCTTTTAAGTGTTTCCCCTTTCACCTTAAACCTACGCCCTCTAGTTTTGGACTCCACTTCGCTAGGAAAAAGACCTTGGCTATTCACCCTATCCATGCCCCTCATTATTTTATGAACCTTGAGAAGGTCACCCCTCAAAACCTCCAATGCTCGAGGGAAAAATGCCCCAGTCTATTCAGCCTCTCTTTATAACTCAAACTGTCCAGTCCCAGGAACATATATGTAAATCTTTTCTGCATCCCCTCAAGTTTAACAACATCCTTCCTCTAGGAAGATGACCAGAATTGTACAAAGTATTCTAAAAGTGGCCTCACCAATGTCCTGTACAGCCACGTCATGATGTCCCAACTTTTATACTCAATGTTATGACCAATGAAGGTAAGCATGCCAAATGTCTTCTTCACCACCCTGTCTACCTGTGACTCCACTTTCAAGGAACTGTGCACCTGCACCCCTAGGTCTCGGTTCCGCAACACCCCCCAGGGCCTTAACATTAACTGCATAAGTCCTGCCCTGCTTTGCCTTACCAAAATGCAACACTTCACATTTATCTAAATTAAACTCCATTTACCACTCCTCAGCCCATTGGTCCATTTTATCAAGCTCCTGCTGCACTCAGAGATAACCCACTTCACTGTTCACTAAACTACCTCCTATATTCACAACGAAATCATTTATATAAATGACGAAAAACAGTGGACTCAGCTCTGTTTCCTGTGCGCACTGCTGGCGATTGCCCTGCAGTCCGAAAAGCAACCACCTACCACTTACCTGCAAAATCCCCTCTAAGTCATTCAATATCTTGACTTGGAAATATATCACTATTGTTTCACTTTGCGGGGACAAAATTCTGGAACTCCTTCCCTAACTTGACTTTGGGCATCCCTACACCCCAAGGACTACAGCAGTTCGAATAAACAGCTAACCATCACCTTCTCCAGGGTAATTAGGGGTGGGCAGTAAATGCTGTCTTTGCATCCCACAAATCAATTAAACAAAATTAACAACAGATAGTTTGGAAAGCCCAGATGAAAATTCACGAAACTCCTAAGACGTACTATGGTTGTTCTTAATTGTGTGTCTATTCTAGTACTGAGTGACAGTGAAACAGCAGCATAATCTAAAATTATTATTGGTCACTGGGAACAAAAACATAATACCAGCCTTCCATTTCACATGTCATCTGCATTACGCTATTGCACAAAGTCTGGATCCGACACAATTGAATGTTTTCCCATTTCAACAGGCAGGAAAGTGGAGTTGAGGATTATCAGATCACACCCATGATCTTACTGAATGGCGGGGCAGGCTCAATGCGCCAAATGGCCTACTCCCACTATTATATCATAACGTCCAACCCCACTTACGACTGCAAGGCTGGGACTTCTGTCAGCACTCAGTCTTTCTATCCAACCAGCCTCCATCCTTAATTATCCTCCTTTCCATCTTGCTCAATTCGATTGGGCTAATGGACTAGGAGCCTTGACCATTCAGTTCGACCTGTCAGTGAATAAATCAGATGATTGAAGAATGCAAGGACCATAAAGAGCCTTACCTCAGCATAATCGGCCACTACATACAGCTCCACATACTTCATATCCTTCACCACATCTCTCTTTTCCTGTACACAGCAGACATAACACGTAGAGCCACACATTATAATTGACAATATAGTGTTCAGATGCAGATCTATGTAATCTCTTGCAACACAAGAGATTCAAAAAGAGGTCTTTTAACATTAAACTAGCCTAATTTCAATTTAACCATCCTTGTTCTAGGGAGCTGAAGTGTCAAAATGTAACAGATTTATTTCACTTCGGTTTGAAAAAATGATTCTACCCTGTCAACACATCTGCTTTAACCAATTTGTTTAAATAAAGGAGAGAAAATGTTGTAATGGACTCAGTGCCTGTTAGTTTGCCATCATCTCTTGGTGTGCCATCATATTCAGTGTATTCTCCAAACTGAGTGGGAAAGGAAGTTGTGAGGAGGATGCAAAGTGGTTTCACAGGACTTAGAAAGCAAAGTGAACAGGTTAGATCATGGTAGATGAGTATAATGCGAATCCATGCAAGGTTATTCATTTGGAGAAGCAAAATTAAGAAGTCAGAATATTTCATAACGGTGGAAAGTGCAGGTATATAAAGGAACCTGAGTGTCGTTGTCAACAAGTCAATTCAAGTTAGCATAGAGGTGCAGCTAGCAGTTAGGAAGGCAATTGGCATGTTCGCCTTTATCACAAAGGGGCTTGAGTACAGGAGTAACGATGTCTTGCTGCAGTTCTATATAGCGTTGGTGAGATAGCACCTGGACTAATGAATTCACTTTTAGTTTCTTTCACAAGGAGGGACATATCTATCACAAGAGGGAGTGTAATGTTCACCAGATTAATCTTTGGAAAGGCGAGACTGTTCTATAAGTGATTGAGGAGACTCGGGCTGTTTTCCCTAGAGTTTCAAAGAATGAGCAGTAGCATGTAAATTCTTACAAGGAGTGACAGAGAGCATGTTTCTCTTGGCTGATGACCCTAAAACCAGGAGGCATATTCTCAGGGTAGGATGGAGGCCACTTAATGCAGAGATAAGGAGGAGTTTCTTCGCTCACAGAGTGGTGAGTGTTTGGAATTCTCTACCCGAGAGTGTTGTGGAAGCTCAGTCACCGCTAGATTTCTGGTAAATAATGATATCAAGGGATATGGAAATAGTTTAGGAAAATGGCATTGAAGTAGATGAAACGCCAGGGTCTAACTAAGGGGTGCAACAGTCTTATTGAGTTGAATGGGCCACTACTGTTCTTAAGTTACTAACATCACTTTGTACACCATTAGCTATCAAGTTGTTTGCTTAAGATTTCTTTTTTTTTAAATCTTGCTCAAATGAGGATTTCCTCGTCAATTTATTTGAAATTGATAATGTCAGTTACTGAAATTGAAGTGTTTTTTTTGGAGTTCCACATTTGTATCTTAAAAAAGTTTCTGTCAATTGTCTTTATGAATGTGTCACTGTGAATGCTGGTGTCCAATTCAATAGTCAATGAGGTAAGATGATAAACAATAAATGCTAGACATAGACAATGGAAAGATCCCAAGGGTAGAATGTCCATCAATAAGAATGAGCAGCTGAAGGTTTTGAGTGACTCTTGACAAGACTTAGTTTTCTGCAATCCTTACCAGGTGATGTGCTGGATGAAATTGGCTGGTGAAATCTTTGACCCAATTTTCCTCATGTTTGCTTTCTTGATGTCCACATGTCCCTCTTTTAAGTTTTACGTGTTCAGTCCTATAGATAAGGTGATGGTCAAGGCTATCTTCAAGGGGTTGCACCAAGTAACTGAGGTTCACATTTAGAATGATCAAACCCCTAGTATAAGAGATATCAGAGAGATAATGTTGTCAGAATTTAATTATCAGCTTATCACTGCCTCACGTTCTTACAGTTTAAAGGACAGAGAACGAGGGGGCAGAATGAGCAAGGTGTCAACATTTTAAAGTCAGAGACCTGAGCTCATATCTAACCGCCCAATGTTTGCTAGCATAAGGAACCAAGGTGTCGTGAATTTGGGCAACCTCAGTCCAGCAATCCTCCACCTCCATCACAGAAATATTTTACATTCAGTTGGCCACATCATTCACTGGGGAGAGTCAATCCTTGAAACAGACAAAAGGTAAGGTGGGGTGAACTAGTCCTGGAGCATGAGTACAAAATAGCTCACAGAGATTGGTCAGTAGTTTTAAACTTGGCCCAGTATTCTTTTCCTCTGAAGTCAATGGAAATAAAGAGTGCGGGGCAAGGCTGAGAATGGACAATGGGAAAATAATCACCAGTTTTGTGCCACTAGCCCAAGGACAGTTTTATCCCCAATGAGTGACAGGTGCAGTAGGTTCTGAGCTTGAGACTGACACAAGCCGTCAGAGCAGAAGGGTTACCAAGCAACGCACAAAGTTGACAATTAATAAGCAAAGTATAAATTAACCCTTTTCCAAAAACTAACGTTTGTCACCTTTTAACATAGAAATCAGCCACTAGACCCATCATAATCGTGCTGGTTTTTGCAAGGGCCAGCCAATATATTTCCCCAGCTGTCACCAGCTAAAGGCAGTCCCTGGGTTGTGAATGGGTTCTGTTTCTGAGTCCGTTCAGAAGTCAATTTGTATTCAAGTTGGAGCACCATGCAGGGAGGTATAAAGCAGCCACTCATAAGTACAGGAAATGTTCATATGTTAGATCTTTAAAACTATACCCCTATATGGGATCGCATTCGTGAGTCAGATGTTTGTAAATCGGGTGCCCCCCCCGTACTTCCTTCCTGCCAGGAAAATTAGTCTTATTTAAGTGTGTGCCCATCTGCCATCTGTAGATTTTGATGGAACATGTTTCACACAATGCAACCTAGATCCTAACAACATCATGTACGAAAAACATTCCTTCATTTTCGTCAAACTCTTTCCTAATTATGTTAAATCTATGTCCTTGATTACTGACCCACAGAAAACAAATTCCTCTTATGTCTTCATCAAAACCTTTCATTAATTTTGAATACCTCCATTAAATTGCCCCTTATCTTATCTTGATGTGTGGAGAATATTCCCGACCTTCCAATCTCTCCATTTCATTGTGCTTTGATATCTTTCCAAAAGTGTGACATTCAGAACTGTACAAAAGGTTTCCAGCTGATACTCTAAGGATGCAAGGTCGGCCACTTACGACTGAGGTAAGGAGAAATGTCTTCACCCAGAGAGTGGTGAGCCAGTAGCATTCTCTACTGTAGAAAGAAGTTGAGGCCAAAACATTGAAAATGTTTCAAAAAGGACCTAGATATAGTTCTCAGAGTTAAAGGGATCAAAGGGTATAGGGTCAAAGCAGCAACATGGTATTGAGTGGGATAATCAGCCATGATCATGTTGAGTGGCAAAGTGAAAAATGGCCTACTCCTGTTCCTATTTTCTACATTTCTATGTTTAATCAGAGCTTTTTAATATATCAGCATAATTTCCTTGTTTTCCTATGTTACTAAGTCAATATTTATCTTCCTCAGTAGTTACCAGGTTGTCCAGTTTTCTACCATCTGCAAACTGCTCTTTGGTACACACTCTTCATGCCCGAGTCTGTGTTGCCTCCGTACAGCAGGAAAAGTAATGGTCCTAATACTGACCTCTACAGGAACACATTTTTCACCTTTCCTTCAGCAGGAAAATGTCGACCTGGATTTAGTGATAGTGGATGGTCCCACCTCGAGGTCTAAAGCCAGTAGTGATCTTCCCTCAATGGTCAGTGAGATCCAGGGCTACATTTGTTAAATGCCAGGAAAGACAGGCCTCCTGAGTGGAAGCAAGTTAGAAATCCAGCATTAAGGCAAACAAGGCTATAGCCAATTGCTGAAAAATTGGATTAGAATGATTAAGTACTTGTGTTGCATCGGCACAGATTCGATGGTTCAAAGGGCCTTTTTCAGTGCTATTGACATCTACAACTCCATGGATCATCCCAATCTTTGTTTGTGCTGCTGGCTGACAGATTAAAATTGACAAGAGCTCCAAGTGAACTCCCATATTCATTCTTCTTCAATTAGCATCCTAAGGTCTTTTAGGCTCATCCAAGAGGATCTCAGTTGAACATTACACTCAAAAGACAACACCTCTGGTGTTTCAACTCTGCCTCAGTGCACGCTGAGGCATCGACCTGAATTATGTGGCCAAATCTCAAGAAGGGCATGAACCCATAACCTTACAATTCAAGAGATGAGAGTGATACTACTGAACACAGGCTTCTGCCAAAGGACTAAATATATTGTCTTTTATAATAATTGGCTTAAAGTCCTCACAGCAAACAGCGCTTGTGATTTGAACTATATATGATGTTAAGAAAAGTCATTCTGCCTCAGGTAGCAAAGGTATAGAAGAAATTTCTTGTGTAAATTCTTGAAGAGTGAAAATCTCCAACCACACACAATTTGCTCCCTATTTTCATGTAAACATTAGCAGGCTGCTTTGTTTGACCTTGTCAGAAAATCCATTGCAGGAAGTTCATTGTTTTCATCTTGGGACCTGTATTGCGGCTTCCTTCACTGATATAAATAGGAAAATGGCTTTTTAAACTGATTTTACTCCTGAACATCTGCTCAAGCAATCCACAGCTGCCTTCATGTTCCTAAGAGCTTATAATTGCTCTATCAACACAGCAATCTTCACTTTGAACAGGGCTTCGATTTGCCGCAAGAGGAATTAATTGTACTAGTTGCTAAGTAACATGACTCAAGTTTCTAGCTATTTAAATAGGAAACAGATTCATTCCAAGACAGCAATCTGAGGTTAGCCTGTTTACCAACATTGATATTGGGAATGATTAGAGGGTTGACTTATTTCACAAAGGAAGTGATTGCTGTTTGGAGAATCTACATACTGAATAAAAGCATTCTATTTCAGGACAAAACGGACGATAATTTTCTCCTGGAAGATCTCTAGTTTCCATTTAGTACTTGCCATCACAAGATGTAATGGAGTTGAGGAGCTCATGTTCTGTAATTCATTCTGAGATTGAGCCATAAGCAGTTCATTTCTTAGAACTGTGGTCTTCAATGAGACATTACAGGGCTGTACTGGCTGTACTGTGCAAGAAGAACAAGCTAAGAATGGTCACTTTGAGAAAGTACAGTGTGTGTATGGTTGAATAGGCCAGTTGAGGATTAACCTCAACAATGTCTGATGGTGCCTAGCACAGGTACTTCTCTCCTCCAGCAAAGACAGACTTCAACAATATCTCCTTCTTCTGTAAGTGCTATTATTGAGAAGGATGAAATTAACAATGTATAGTATTATTGACTTCACTAAATTATTCTCCAAGTCCTAAATCAACCTTACAGAAACATTTATCCCCGTTCCTTCATCATTGCTAGATTAGTAACCTGGAATTCCTTACCCAAGTTTGGAACCAGCCTTGCTTCTGTAGTAATATTTTCACATTGAGTCAGAACATGGTTTTAAAGCTTACTTCAAAGACATGAGCATATGGGCCAAATTGTCTTCAGCTACTTTATCAATGACAATCCCCTCCGTTATAATGTCAATGTGAGATGTTTCAGCGCTTAGTAATATTCACACCTCCTCAGATACTGAAGCAGTCTGCTATGAAATGCTGCAAAACCTGGATGACATTCAGGAATGGACTGTTAAAAGGCAATTAATATTCATGCCATACATGGCGGGGGCAGTGACCAGCTCAAACAAGAGAGAACCTGACTAATTTTCCTCGATGTTCAAAAGGGGAGGCGATGGCCGAAAAATTATCGGTAGATAATGTTGAAGCACTCTCAACAATCGTCAGTAAGAATCGCCACATGGATGATCCATCTCCGCCTCCTCCAGTGGTCCCCAGCATTACAGATGTCAGTCTTCAGTCAATTTGATTCACTCCACATGTTATCAGGAAATGGTCGGAGACAATGGAGACTGCAAAGGCTGTGGGCCCTGACAACATTCCGGCAACAGAACTGAAGATTGGGCTCCAGAACTTGCCGTTCCCCTGGCCAAGCCATTCCAGTCCAGTTACAACATTAGCATACAGTTACAACACTAGCATCTACCCAATGATGTGGAAAATTGGCAAAAAGCAGGACAAATCCAGCCCGGCCAAATTCCGCCCCATCAGTCTACTCTCAAACATCAGTAAACTGATGGAGAGTGTCTTCAATCATGTTATCAAGTAGTACTTGCTCAGCAATAACTTGGTAGGGATGCCCAGCTTGGGTTCCATTAGGGCCATTCAATTCCTGGTCTCATTATAGCTAGCCTTGGTTCAAACATGGACAAAAGAGCTGAATTCCACAGGTGAAGTGACAGCAACTGTTCCTTGACAACAAGATCACATTCAAGTGAGTGTGGCATCAAGAGGCCCTAGCAAAACTGGAATCAATGGATACTGGGGGACAATTCTCCATTTCTTGGAGTCATACCTGGCACATAGGAAGATGGTTGTGATTGCTGCGGGGCAGTCATCTCAGATCCAGGACATCTCTGCAGGAGTTCCTCGTGGTAGTGTTTTAGGCCCAACCATCTTCAGCTGCTTCATCAATGACCTCCCTTCCAGTGAATGTCAGAAGTGGGAATGTTCATTAATGTTTGCACAATGTTCAATACCATTTGCAACTTCTCAGATATTGGAGCAGTCCATATCCAAATGCAACGAGATCTGAACAATATCCAGGCTTGGGCTGACAAGTAGGAACTAATATTTGTGCCACATTAATTCCAAGGAATGATCATCTCCAGTAAAAATTTCTAACCACTGCCCCCTGACATTCAATGGTGTTACCATCACTGAGTCTCCCACTGTCAATATCCTGCTGGTTACCTTTGATCAGAAACTCAACTGGATTTGCCACATAAACACAGTGGCTTCAAGAGCAGTGTAGAAGCTAGGAATACCGCAGTGAGTAACGGACTCCTCAAAGCCTGTCCACCATCTGTAAGGTACAAGTCAGGAGTGTGATGGAATACTCCCCACTTGCCTGGATGAGTGCAGCTCCAAAAACAGTCAAGAAACTTGAAACCATCCAGAACAAAGCAGCCCATTTGATTGGCACATCTATAAGCATCCACTCTTTCCGCCACTAACGTTCAGGAGCAGCAGTGTGTGCTATCTGTAAGGTGCACTGCAGAAATTCATCAAAGATCCTTAGACAGCACCTTCCAAACCCACAGGTACTTCCATCTAGAAGGACAAGGGCAGCAGATACAAGGGAATGCCATCACCTGCAAGTTCCCCTCCAAGCCACTCAACATCCTGACTTGGAAACATACTGCCATTCCTTCACTGTCATTGGATTAAAATCTTAGAATTCCCTCCTAAGGGCATTGTGGGCCAACTACAGCTTGTGGGCTGCTGTGGTTCAAGAAGGCAGCTGACCACCACCATTTCAAGGGTAACGAGGGATAGGCAATAAATGCAATAAATGTTAACCATCCAGTGACACTCACATCTTATGAGTGAATAAAATAAATCACAGGGACAGCAAGCCAGACTGAATCAGCCTCCCTATCCCTGTGTTCATGATACAGTAAAATTAAAACTTTTAATGACCCTCAAAATTGCCCCAATTTTCCTAACCAGAATCTAACCAATGCCAGAAGTCAAGTTTATACTTATAGAGAAAAGGAATTTATTATTAATACAGGAGCTTTAGCACAGCAATATTAAAGAACAAGGTAATCTAATTCATGGCTATGATTTGAACCGAATCTTCTTTGATCATAGCCCCAGCTCACACAGAAACAGACACGGCTAAGGTATAAATGAAAAGAAAACATAAAAGAGATGCGACTGGCGAGTTCACTTCAGCAGTTTCATCAATGTGTGCTATCACAGGCTCATAGGATTGTATCTTGTTTGATTTCTGAAGACACTCGTCAATGTAAACAGTTTCTAATCGGCTCCGGAATATTCACTTATTTCTTATAACTGGGATTCTATTCTCTGAACTTTCAATAAGTTGGTAACGGTATGATAACCAAAGAGCAACCAAAGGTCCATCCTGTAGTTTTCACAGCCACATATCTTCTGACTAAATCACAGTTTAAGCCAGTTCAAACATTGGATTCTCTGTTTTTCCAATATTCTCTTTGTTGAACAAGTCAGCACCAGCCTCCCTGCAATGGCCCATTTTAACATCTGTCAGCCTTGAACATAATCCATCTCTGAATCTGAAACATCTACAGTGTTCTTTCAACAACAACTAACTTGCAAGCCAGGTCCTCTAAACAAACATCAATTTGCTTGTTCTTTCATTTTTTAAAAACATAACAAGCTGCTGCTCACAGTCCAAAGATCACCTTCAACTCACAACTCACAGTTACAAACCAAAAATGGGAAAAATAAACAGTGAAGTTTCCAATAGGCAGTACATTTCTCTGAATCCCTCATCATCATCATCCTTGAGACTTGTTGCTGACCAGAAACTGAGCTGGGCCAGCAAGATAAATAATATAAGAGCAGGTCAGAGGCTCAGAAGTCTGTGGTAACTTACTCCCTCACTCCCCAAAGTCAAAACTTGCCCTCCATCTGCAATGAGTAAGTGAGGTGCGTGGTAGGATACTCTCCACATGCCTTGGTCAGTATAGCTCCAGCAAAAGGCAAGAAGCTTAACGCTATCCAGAAAAGAGCCACTCATTTCACTGGTACCACATTGATTCCTCCACCAATGATGCACACTGGCTGTAGTGCGTACCACCTACAATATGGATTGCATATATCCACCAAGAAAACACCTTCCAAACCCATGATCTTTACCTTCTAGAAAGACAAAGGCATGGAAACACTACAACCCGTAATTCCTCTTCAACCAGTCACCATCCTGACTTAGAACAGAATCACCATTCATTCACTCGGTTAAAAGTCCTAGAACTCTTCCTAACAGCCCATGAAGGCAGTTCACTACCACTTTCTCTGGAGCACTGAGGGATGGACAACAAATGCGTGCCTTGCTAGCAATTGTCATATCTCACAAAAAAAATTATACAACACAGCACTTCAATGCAATATGGAGGGAGTGCTGCTGTGTCAGAGTTCTCGTCTCAGTGACACGCTGGTCTTTCATCTCCCTTCTCACGTTGATGTGAAAGCTCGTGACTCTATTCAAAACTGAACAGAATTCCCCTGGTGCCCTGGCAAAACTTATCCCTCATGCAATAGCAACCAAAACAGACTTTTCTTTCTCCTTACCCTTTCGTGGAATGTGGCAATCAATGCAAAGGTCACCAGTTGCTGTCAATCTCTAAAAATTTTAAGCCAACTGGTTGTTAAGCCATTTCAGAGATGACCACATTGCTGAACATCTGGAATTACATCTAGGGCAGTCCAGGCAAGGATGGTAGATTTCCTTCTCTGAATGACATTAGTGAATACGTGGGATTTTTTTTAAGAACAATCAATGATAGATTAGTTGGTTAATTATGGATGCTTCTGGGACTTGCTGTGTGCCAACTGGCCGTTACATTTCCTGAAATTTCCTTTGTAGTGCCCAGTATCAAAAACATACTTGTCTATGGGCTTGTAAAAGGTGCTACAGAAATAGTAAGAACTGCAAATGCTGGAGTCAGAGATAACACAGTGTGGGGCTGGAGGAACACAGTAGGCCAGGCTGCATCAGAGGAGGAGGAAAGTCAACTTCCTACTCCTCTGATGTTGCCTGGCCTGCTGTGTTCCTCCAGCCCCATACTGTGTTATCCACACAAATGTAAATGTGTTTTTGTTTCTCCTGACACTATCATTGGAGCCACATTATCACCAGGATTGCAGTGGTTCTTGGAGACGATTTGCAATCTTGAGGAATGGCCACAAGACTAGAGGACTCTCCTGGCTCCTCGCAGGTTGTCTTTCCTTGTGTCCTGTGCGCATCTTGGCTTAGCATAATGTCTAATCCAAAGATTGGTGCCTCTGGCATGGCAGCACTCACTTCCTCCTGTGCTGAAGTGTCAGCTTAAATTATGTGTCCCGATTTCTGGAATGGGGTTAGAACCAATGATGTGATGACTCAGAGATTTGCCAAGCAGTGCCAAACTTGCCACTGTTGGCACGTTTTAAGGAAAAGAAAATGTAGTCCGTGTCTCCCTTACCTTGCCCAAGGCCCCAGTGACCCCCACGTCTTCTGATTGGGAGGAAAGTCTTCTTGACACTTTGCAAATGGAATAATTAATTTTTGAAGTGCAAGGCAGATCCTTATTAAAGGTTAACAAATGTACACTTCAGCAATCTTACCGGAGTCCTCTGCACGTGCTCAGTACGACACTGGAGTGTTTGAAGCCTTTCACATTGCCATGGTACAAACAGTGCGACTGAAACAAAAAACAAACAGCACAGTGCACAGGATCACAACAATTAGGAGCAGGAGTTAGAAGCCCTACTACGTTGAAGCCAGCCATTCAGCCCATCAAGTCCACACTGACCCTCCAAACAACATCCCACCAGACCCAACCCCCTACCCTATCCCTGCATTAGTTCACACTCCAGACAATTTAGCATGGCCAATCCACCTAACCTGCACATCTGTGGACTGTTGGAGGAAACAAGAGCACCCAGAGGAAACCCATGCACACACAGGGAAGAACGTGCAAACTCCATACTAAGAGTCGTCTAAGGCTGGAACTGAACCCAGGTCCCTGGCTCTCTGAGGCAGCAGTGCTAACTACAGAGAAACCATGCCACCATACCACTGTGTTGGTAAAAACAGCAAAGCAAGCTGTGGATTTCATGTGGAACAGCAAATAGGTTAGTCTATGTTACAGCAATGCTAGATCTCAAGAAATACAAATAGGAATGTTTTGCCTTCAGGCACCTATCACAATAAAATATTGGTCATTCAAACACCAAGTTTGCATGAATTTCTGTCCAGTCAATCTGAACAGAAGCTTGTGTGAGGTTCTGCTTCCATTCAGTCCTGTTAAGCAGAGCTCTGCACTGTCAGTCTCAGGAACCTTGAGGTTGGTGGCTCTTAGCGTTACCTGACCATCCAAATGAAAGTAGTAACGTGCTGGGTCACTGAGGTCTATACTCCATGAGTGAAAACCTTACAACTGGACAACTCTGTGCATAAGCTGCGTTTTAACGAATTCACACTCTCTAATGTAGGAGCACCAGCTACAAACTAATAGTACATCACCAGATGTTGTGCAGATGCTGGTGACCTGTCTTTTAGGCAACATATAGAAAATTCTTTGAATGCAAGTCATTTAATCTCCCCACTCCATCTCCAACCCTGACATCTTGTCCATATAATGTACTGAATTGAGGCATCATCCAGATCTCGTTTTGGGTGCGTCGAAATAACTTTATCTCTGAGTCATCACATCATTGGTTCTAACCCCATTCCAGAAACCGGGACACATAATTTAAGCTGACACTTCAGCACAGGAGGAAGTGAGTGCTGCACTGCCAGAGGCACCAATCTTTGGATTAGACATTATGCTAAGCCAAGACGCGCACAGGACACAAGGAAAGACAACCTGCGAGGAGCCAGGAGAGTCCTCTAGTCTTGTGGCCATTCCTCAACTTCTGTAGAAGGAAGCAGGTTATGTGGCCATCATTGTAGGAAAAATATATCGAGTGTGGATGGGGTGCAGGAGTGGTGGGTCAGTGAACTTGACAGCAAGGGAATAAAGGAGGGAGTAACAATGGGGAGAATTGAGATGAGGAGGGCAGAAACCATGGGGGTATTGTACCTGAACTGGAAAAGGGGCCATTAACAGATGTTTCCTGCTTCACCCCCCCCAATCCCTGATACTTCCCTGTCTAAGGTTCGAGTTGGATGCTGTAATGCTCTATCTCCACAATTCCCCTCTTGGCCTCAAGATTTAGGCTGGGGTGGAAAGTCCAAATGAGTCCCTTAGTTTGGGATAAAATTGAACAGGGGCAAGGTGAAGGAGAACACACTAATCATTTTATTCTCCATCCCTCACAACCTGCAAACCCACTGATGGGGTTCCGCAAAATTCTGCTAACATCAGCGACTGCACTTCAGAAGTATTTCATTGACTGTGAAATGCTTAGGGGCATTTTTTAGGCACAGAGAATTGTAATAACACCCTGATTTTCCCAGTTGTAATTATCAGCGAGATTATCAGACCACACTATTACTAAATTGTACATTGGACAGCAGTTATCCAACACATGTGTGGTTGAACAAGAAATAGGGGATTAAGTGAATTTTTAAGAGCATGGGAACCACACCAGTACTGAAAATGCTGTTTTAGGAGCATGGAAATTCATTCCATCAGATTTTAATTACTATTGGTGTGTGGTGATTGGAACCAGGTAGATCTCATTGACGATGAGATCCTTGAATGGGATTGTTAACCTGGGTCAATCAGGGAGCCCTGGCTGACCAATATAAACAGGGGATTTAGAATCTCCTCACTTCAGGCACTGATTCCGAGCTGGCTGGTCACAGCCTGTGTACTGTGCGCAGGTAAATAAAGACTGACTTGGTGACTGGATACCCACCTCTGTGCAGTTATTTCATGGGGATTTTAAAAACAATTAAAATTAATACATTTCGACAGTTGCTTTGCCTCTTTTATCTTTTTTTCTCTCTGTTACTCTCATTTCTCCTTCCTACCCTTTAACTTGCTTTCTGTACATGAATTGACTTTGAATTATATATTTTAACTTACTGACTTAAATTCTGTGTGTCTCAAATGATTCTTCAAGACTGAGATGATACAGTGCTTTGTTGCCCGATTCAGACAGGACCTAATTCACTATATACAGAGACATGCTGAAATGTATCTCTCGAAGTCACAGATCAAAACTCCACGGAATGTCTGTGCAAAGTGGAAATGTAATGGACACATAGTATTATTCCCTCATCACTGATCTTAAAATCCAGGCCAACCATACAAGTTCTTTCCTTTCATTTATCAAGATGGACATTGAAAATGAATCCTGTCTCATTAAGTTTGCTGATTTATTATAAGACCTTACAATATTTTGGAAATTTGAGTCAAACCATGCAAACTATTCACATGGCACTGCTCAGTCGTGGCTTGCCTCAAGAGGAACAACTAGGTCAGCTCCAGCACTTGCTATTACATGGTCATCCTCTAACCAACGTGTGTGCTTTGTCCTGCTCCTCTCAGCCACACACTGACATCCCACACACTCACCTTGTGGTCAGGATAGCTAGTTCTTTGCTCTCCAGTAGGGCTGTAGTGAGTCTCGGCATAACCCAGTGCCATCAGTTGCCTGGAAAGAGAAACATAGTTCTGTTTCAGACCTCAACGAACTTGCTGAGTTTTTAGACAATCAGAGCTCACTTTCAAATATTCCAACCGCTTCTCTGTAAAACCTATAAAGTTATGAGGCAGCAGGGTGCCTCAGTGGTTCGCACTGCTGCCTCACAGCGCCTGGGATTCGGGTTCAGTTACAGCTTCGGGCAACTGTCTGTTTGCACATTCTCCCCACGTCTGCGTGGGTTTCCTTTCACAGCCCAAAGATGCGCAGGTTAGGTGGATTGGCCATGCAAAATTGCCCATAGTGTCCAGGGATATGCAGGCTCATGGGGAATGCAGGGTTACATGGATAGGGTATGGTGGTGGGTCTGAGCATTTGGAGGGGTTTGTGTGCACTTGAGGGGCTGAATGGCCTGTGTCCACACTATTGGGATTCTAAGTTCTAAATGAAGAATGTGTAGCTTTACTTACAAACTAAGCTGTAGGAGCAGGTCATACTGCTTAAAACTTCTATGTCAGTGTTTATCCTCTACACAAGCTTGATGTTTGTATCATGACGTTTGACTTGATAGAGGTGTACAAGATGAGGAGAGGCACAGATAGAGTGGATAGTCAGAAACTTTTTCCCGCAGGGCTGGAAATGACTATTACGAGGTGGCATAATTTTAAGGTGATTGGAGGAAGGTATAGAGGAGATGTCAGAGGTAGGTTCTTTACACAGAGAATGGTGGGTGTGTGGAATGTGCTGCCGGCAGTGGTAGTGGAGTCAGATACTTTAAAGACTTTTAAGCAACTCTTGGATAGGGACATGGAGGATAGTAAAATGTAGGGTCTGCAGGGTAGTTTGATCTTAGTAGGATAATAGGTCAGCATAACATTGTGGGCCGAAGGGCCTGTACTGCGCTGCACTGTTCTATGTTTTATGTTCTTAAGCTTCTTGCCACACAAATTACCTCTCAAGATGATGAACCCATATTGCTAGATTGCCTACTCCCTGATACAAACATCAAACCTCCCATTAAATATATCAATGCCACTTCAACCATCCCTAAAGGGAAAAAAAGTACACATTCTAACTGTTCTGGAAAGTATTGCCTCCTATTTAACCCGTTATTGGCTCTTTCATACTAATGCACTCTTGTTCTGGATTCCCCCACTTCAACATGTAAGGGGTTACCATTGACGGGAAACCACAATGGACCAGCCATGTAAACACTACAAGAGTAGGTCAGAGGTTAGAAATCATGCAGCGATGAGCTCACCTCCTGAATCCCCAGATCCTGTCCACCATCTACAAGGCACAGGTCAAGAAGACAATGAAATACTCCCCACTTACCTGGGTTAGTGCAACTCTAACAGCATTCAAGAAGCTTCATACCAGACAGGACGAAGCAGCCCACTGGAATCAAACCCACCATCTTCTACATTCACTCCCTTCACGGCAACACACAGAGAGTGGAAGCAATAAGTACCATCTACAAGATGCCCTGTAGCAATTCACCCAGGATCCTTCCAAACCCGTGACCTCTACCTGCTCAAAGAACAAGGGTAGCGGAAGCATGGGAATACCATGACGATCAGAGGAGCACATTCTCCTCTGAGGCACATATCATTCTGACTTGGAAACACGGGGAGGTGGTGGCATAGTAGCAATGTCAATGGGCTACCAATACAGAAGCCTAGGCTAATGTTTTGAGGTAATTGGAATGAACCTCAACATGACAGAGGTAGAGTTTGAATTCAATAAAATCTGGAATAAAATCTACTAGGATGGCAACCACGTAGCTATTGTCGATTGCTGTGAAAGCACATCTGGTTCACTGGAACACAATGTCCTGTAGAGAAGGAAATCTGCCGTTCTTCCATGGTTTGGCCTACACATGACTCAAGACCCACAGCAATGTGGTCAACTCTTAACTGCCCTCTGGGAAATTAGGGATGAGCAGTAATTGCTGGCCTCTTCACTGATGCCTACATCCAACAAAAAAAAATATTGCTGTTCCTTTTCTGTCCTTTAAAATTCTGGAAATCCCTCCCCAACAACACTGTGGATGTCCCTACACCCCAAAGATTGCAGAAATTCAAGAGGCAGCTCATTACCACTTCCAATAGTTTATTGCCTGTCCCTAATTGCCATAGGCCAATAAACTATTGCTTAGCCAGTAATGCCCTTATCCTGTGAATGAATAAAGGAAAGAATTGGAAACAGTTTCTCTACATTCACCCTACCAAATTCCTTCACTATTTCAAATAACGCAATCAGGTCTCCTTTTAATCTTCTCTTTCCCAGGAGAACACTCCCAACCTGCTCAATGTTTTCAGATAGGTACAGTCTTTCTTGTTTTGTAATATCCTTATAACTTTAGTCTGTATCCTCAATATCATTATCTCTCATAGAGAAAGCACTACTGGAGGGTGAGTCATTGATGTATTCAAGGCATTGATAGGCCCATTCCCCTGTTATCCCAGTACGTGCTAACTGTAAAGCAACATCTTGAGTATAACATTCTCACCTTTGTTTGTAAATCCCTCCAGTCATGCATCTCTGTGACCTCCTCCAGGCCCACCACACTCTGAGAAAGCTGTGCTCCTCAAGCTCTGTCCTCTTATTATAATCGCTCCATCATCAGTGGCTGTACCTTCAGCTGCCTGGGTCCCAAGCTCTGAAACACCCTACCTTTAGATCTTTACCTCTCTATCACATTTTCTTTCTTTAAGACACTCCTCAATATTAACTCCTTGGCCAAGATTTTGGGCAACTGGCTTAATATTTCCTTATGTGGCTTGATGTCATGCTTTGTTTTCATAAAATTTTCACCTTAGGTATCAAGTTAAAGGTGCCAGATAAATATAAGTTGCTGTTGTAAAACAATAAGGGTGTCAAGGGTTATAGTGAAAGGGTTGGAAAGTGGAGTTGAGACCAAGATTGTATCAGTCATGTTCTTACTGAATGCTGGTACAGGTTCAATGGCCCAGTCTCGTGTCCCTGTTATTAACAATACCCTTATAGGATAAGCCAGGATTCACTGCTATTCACAAAGTTTTCAGTATCTGTCTTCTTCAGATACTCAGAATTCAATCAGGCGTCCATTCAAGAGCCAGTATTTGAGAAGCTCAAGGGATATAAAAAGAAAATCTTTGTTTTTTTATCTGGTGAAATAGGAAATAACTCATTTTTGTCCGAAGTCACTGCCTTCTTGTCAATAGCAACATTGTCCACAGTCACACATGAAAAATAAAAATCAGTTTGTGTTGTTGCAATACAGACAGAGACACTAAGTCATTCATAAAAACCAAACCGAGTGCTCAAGCAATGATCAAGCTTCAGCAAGTTTGGAGCTGTCTGTTGTATGTTGTGGTACCAAGTGCTGGTGGCTGGCAGCAGGAACAGAAATCACCGCATCTCAGTGTTGCTTCTCATCCCACCCCAAACTCAGCATAGACTCCTACAGCCCTGGGCCCTATTGGGTCCTGACGTATTCCTCAACCCCTCCCACACCTCCCCTGAGGTTTATGATTGGGGTATGGTGCTGTCAATAATCCTCCTTGCTATGCAGTTTCTAAGAGCCCACTCAGTTAATAATGGTGGAGGATAAACCACTCGAGAGTCCTAATATAAAAAGTCCCTTGCTTTAGCAAGAAAACTACGTGGTCGCTATAGGTACATGTTATAAAAAACAAACATGGAGAGTGGTGGGGAAGCTCATAAGGTCTGCGTCATCTGTGGAGACAGAAAAACAGAGTTAACGTTTCAGTTTCGAAAACTGCAGTTCTGAGGAAGTGCCATAATGACTCAAAGCATTAACTCAGTCTCTCTCTCCACAGATGTTGCCAAACCTGTTGAGTTTCTCCAGCACTTTCTGTGTTTGTTTCAGATTTCCAGCATCCACAATATTTTGCTTTTGTACAAGTTATATTAATTAACCAGGCAGAATTGTGGAGACTAACTGGAGCCAGGGAGGAATGTCTAATCCCATCAGGATCTACAGCTAGACTGGTTCTCTTCTACACCCAAATATTATGTGATGTAACCGGATTGGGTAGAGCTTAATGCATCTTCAACATTATCGCGTTTAGAACCATTACCTTATGCAATAAAACTGACCAAACTGTGGAACTCATGTTCAAGGAAAGCTGCAAGGTGATGGGAATTTTGTTTCCTGCATTTAAAGTCTTAAGACTATGGGCAATCAACACTTGGAGGCAAGTTGCAGCAACACTCCCTTCCCCCAGAACTTCTCCTACACTGCCCCTTCGAACACACCCAGGGCACTGGCAGCACAAGTTAGATACAGAGTAAAGCTTCCCTTACCCTGTCTTGTCAAGAGTTAATGTGAAATATGCCACCAGTGATCTAACAAATCACATAACAACAGATTCTACGGAGAGATGAGCCCGTTTTAAGCTTTGTGCTAAGCCTTATCCTGTAAATAGTTGAAAGATTATCTCATTACAAAACGCGTAGCATCCATCATTGATCCTGGCCAAGGACAGTATCTCCCTTAAGACCCAGCAAGCTAGAAGTGCTACATTTATCTGTTCTAATAGGACATAGTCAGCAATCTGAAAAAAAACCCATTCAGCTCAACACAAAAGGCAAACGAGGTTTGAAGCCATTTCCACTACAATGGCAAAACATGTCTCATCAGGTCTTCTCAGGTTGGTACATGCAGTTAGCTATAGAGTTTGACAGGATAAGATATTTAATAAAAAGAAACTTATTATTCTAGCAAACTGTTTAACATGGGCAGTCACAGGGGCCAACCCAGAAACAGACAGGGTTGAGAGCATCGAGTTCCTGGATAACCAACAATCTGTCCTGGACCACCCATGTAGATGTAATAATAAGAAGGCACAACAAGACCTCTTCTTTCTCAGGCAGCTTAGGAAACTCAGTATGTCCATAAGGACCCTCAACAGCTTTTATAGATGCACCGTAGAAAGCATTCTATCTAGATGCATCATGGCTTGGTACTGTAACTGCTCTGCCCAGGACCATAAAAAACT